CTGGGTGTGTTGGTCTGAAGGACAGAGATATCATAGCCTGGCTGTAAACAGAGAATTGTTATTCTTGCCTACTGTAAGACACACTTTCTGGTGAATACACACACAATTTGTTTAGACCCTCCATTGTGAGAAGTGCCATCTATTTCACACAAAAAAAGCTCTGGCTGTAAACAGAGAATTGTTATTCTTGCCTACTGTAAGACACACTTTCTGGTGAATACACACACAATTTGTTTAGACCCTCCATTGTGAGAAGTGCCATCTATTTCACACAAAAAAAGCTCTGGCTGTAAACAGAGAATTGTTATTCTTGCCTACTGTAAGACACACTTTCTGGTGAATACACACACAATTTGTTTAGACCCTCCATTGTGAGAAGTGCCATCTATTTCACACAAAAAAAGCTCTGGCTGTAAACCAGAATACAACACGCGAACTGCTCTTTTACATGCAAGGGGGAAGGAAGATGGAGAATGGTAATTAAACATGTCTAACTGTATATGTCAGGGCTAGAGAAAATGTCTCCACCAAGAGTCATTTGGATACTTCTAACATTATTATTTATAACGAGGCAGCAGGGAACCTCAAGGGTTCGGAATGCTGAAGAAAAAGAAGATTATTTATAACATTCAAGGACCATACATGAATATCGCCTTTAAAAGTCAGCCTGCTGTATTTGGTGAAATGTTTAACTCACTCACTCCTGGCAATGGGTCGACCACGCAGAATATGGAACAAAGGCATCAAAAACAAAACAACTTTAGGGAAATAAAGACAAGCTTGTACAACACATTAGAAAGTGCACATAGTTGGCCCTTACACCCCCAACCCCCCAAAACAATTTTAAAAAACCTGCTGATTAAGTTACTGGAGCAAGTAAAGAAGATGTTTAATGGTATTATTTTATATTCTTCGTATAGTTTAACTGTCTCTATTTGTTAAGGCATGTTATATGTTTAGTGAGATCAGAGTTTTGCCAATATTTGTTCAAGCCGGAACATCAAAGCACTCTAGACATTCCTCTACCTCTAACATTTGAAGCAGCTATCGCAGTTTCAGTCTTGATGATAACCAGTAGTAGTTTTACTATAAGTCCATTGTGCTTTTTTTTAAGTGTCGAGTGTCTGCCAGATGCCCTGACTATTTCCCCCTCTCCCGTTCCCTCCAGACAAGATAGAAGTCTGTGGAAAAAGACTAGAGCCATATCCTTGTGCAATTATAAGGATCCCTGGTCGGAATCAATCAAAACTAAACCAGATATCAAATGCTGAAAATATTTAAAATAAATGTCAGCCGACAGAGCAATATGAATAGATAACTGCAGGTAACTGCTGGGTTATATGGAACTATGAACAGATAAGTGAATTTAACAGTTGGTTCATTGGGAAAATATAAATAGATATTACTTTGAAAGTAAATTAACTTGGAAATATGAAAAGGTGACTATATATAACATTCAGTCAATTGGTGAATATGAATAGATGATACCTTTATGTAACAGTTAACAGGATATACGAAAACGTAATTACATGCTGCATGTAACATCTAGTTAATCTTTTTATGGTCAATGCGGTGTGGCGTTGGTAGTCATGTCTATCCAAAAATTTTTGTCTCGTGTACTTTCAAGCAACTCTTGACACAAATGATCTTGCCTTGATGTCAAACTGTCCAGCATCTGTTATCTCAGTCTCCCTCTGCCTCTCTTCCCCTCCAACTTTCCTACTGTCATGATGTACTCCAGTTTTCTTCTTCTCATCACATGACCAAAGACTGTAGACTGTCTCTTTCTGATGTGGTTAATCAGTTCGCTTCGTGAGTCAGTCTGAGACGACTTCATTACTCTTTGTATCTGTCCAGGTTATTCTATAAAACCACATCTTCTCAGATTCCAAAAGAATTTTCACTAATTTACTAAGTGTCCATGATTCACAACCATATATTAATACAGGAATTATATAACTTTTAAGATTCTCTTTCTTATCTCAACTGACAAAGAAATATTGCATAAAATATTCTTCATTTTGTAAAATGCTGCCTTTGCTTGAACTATTTGACATTTAACTTCCTTAATACAACTTCCATCTGATTATCAGGGTATCCAAGTACTTAAACTTATCTTGCTTGAGATTTGTCCTATTTACTTTGATGCAGCATTTTGGACGGTCAGTTTTCTTATTAATTACCCTTACCTCTGTTTTTCTGCTGTTCAAACTAACATCCTTGTTTTCACTTTCCGTTACAATTACATCCAACATTTCTTGCAGTTGTGTTTTATTTTCAGTGATCAAAACTATACTGTCAGCATATCACAGGTTGTTAACAATTTGCCCACCAACCACTATTCCTGGTAAACCATGTATGGATCTAATTATTATTTCACTGTACAAAATGAATAAATCAGGTGACAGTAAACATCCCTGTCTAACGCCTTGTTTAATGTTTTGAAAGTTCCAAACTGGTTGTCTATCCTTATGGCTGCTTCTTGTTGCCAGTAAATGTTTTTTATTACTCTCAGATCTTTACCATCAATCTGTAAAGTTTCCAAAATTCTAATAATTTCTTCATGTTTCACTTTATCAAATCCTTTAATGTTATCAAAAAAGCACAAGCACATTTAGTTAATAGGAACATTTAAATAAACAATTGCATACAATTTAAAACAATAATAATTGTAAAACTAGTATTTATAAAATTATATTTTATTGGATAAAATAAGACATTACAAATCTACATAAATGCACATATGGAATGATTCCCTGTATTATAAGTAACATTTGTTTTCTCCCTTTCGGTGTGCTTCACATTACATACATGTTGGCATAGGCCTTTTTGTCACTCCACAATCTTGATTCTCCTTTTTTTCTATGTAGCCATCACTCAAAAATAAAACTGAGGAGCGATAAATGACATAAATAACTGAAACAGAAGAGCTGTTTTCATGTGTGACTGCATATCAGTTCTCCAGGGGACTCACAAGGATCCACAAGACAACACAGAGACGGAGAAATGATCTGTCAGCTAAATAAACTCTCAGAAAACAAACCGTTCTTCAGTGTCCACTGTGACACACCAGAAAATGTGTTGGCGGACAGACTTGCAAAGAATGGATCAAAGGAAAAACAAAACACCTATTCATCAAATCAAATCACTTATCAAAGGGAAATACAAGGAACCGTTGAGGAAACAAACCAACAGTAAACATTCACAAGATCACATCAGCAGATTCAACAGAAAACAACACACACCTGTACAGCAATTCATCATCAAAGAACAGGACACTGCAGCTTACCTCCACATAAAATACAGACTTTACAGTCTCCACAGTGAGCATGTCAGATGGGTCCACAAACATTTGAGCACGTTCAGCAGGCCTGATCACTATACTTACAACTATAAAGAGAAACCTGGCCTCAAGAGCAAAGTGTGCAGGGTTAGCTACAGCAACTATTTAGGATCTGTAACTGACACTCAATTAAAAAACTTTTTTTTTCATTCACTTAGTTATATTAAACTGAATGTCAAGAAAAAGAAGAAGAAGATTTGTGACATACATATTTGAAAACTGGAGAATTCTAAGGAACATAAATAACATCATTCATAATAATCAATGGATTTGCAACCATCATTTTTCATTCAAGGACTGCTAATTTAGTATATATACAGAAAAAAACAACGTAAGAAATTAAATACACGACATCTGTTCAAACACGCAGACAATAAAGGTAAAATAAACATTGACTTTCATTAACATATAGAGAAGGTTATGATCATTTTGGAATGTTATTCTTGACAACAAGTTGGTGAACTGGAGGTGGATCTTATGGAGGGCAAACAAGACAAAAAGATTCAACAGCAGCCTTATTTAAGCTATTTCTGTTTTTACAGTTATTACTGAAGTTTTTAGATAAACTGGTCAAATACATGGACAATGAACAATCAGAAATTTGAACTGAGGCATTGGAGTTGTGGACTGAGAGTGAAAGAGCTGATGAAAAAAATAAAAGTCAGCTTATCCTAAATTTGTTAACTTTAGATGCAACTTATCCTGTAACTTTATTTCAAAAATTAATGAACAATTATTATAAATAATTATTTGCTAACAAATTTTACAATGAATACTGAGCTACTCACTGCAAGTTAGTTTAAACAAAAAAGTCAATTGTTCTCTAGGCATTGTTCAAAACCTAATATTTAACTTGACTACTTAATTCGCTTCAACTTTATATTTGTTTGTTTCAAGAGCAGAATTACCTGTTTATACTTTCTCAGCCAATCATCAGAGCAGAATTAACTGTTTATACTTTCTCAGCCAATCATCAGAGCAGAATTAACTGTTTATACTTTCTCAGCCAATCACCAGGGCAGAATTAACTTTATATACTTTCTCAGCCAATCATCAGAGCAGAATTACCTGTTTATACTTTCTCAGCCAATCATCAAGCAGCTCTCCACAGTAAAAGGTGGCTTAAGTGCATCTCCTACAACTGCAGTCTCACAAGCCTTGATGTAAGCCCCGACACACTACTTATCATTCACGTCTTGAAGTTGTCTTCATTTTTTCTGTTGCTGTTTACCTCTGCTTTCAATTCTTCCTTCCAGTAAGTTTTTTGTGTGTAAATAATGTCTAGTCTTTTATAGTGGTCAAAATCAATCTATTATTGCCTTAATTAAAGTTTTAAATTAATAAGCTATGGTCACTCAAATTAATCAAGGAGCAGCAACTGCTTTAAAGTTTTTGAACACATTATCTGGAAGAATAGATCATTAAGTTGTAAACTAATTTGGCAGAAACAATGAACTATCAGCACTTTAATGAACAAGCATGGAAGAACCGATTATAAACTTCTGAGTTTATGATGGCATAACTAACTTTCACATGTTGTATTAATGAGCTTCATTCAAAAAAAAAACTATCACTGCATATATCACTGCATACATGTTTTTCAAACTGCTCAGTCAGAACACAGGTAACTCAACAAACCAACATCACATACTTGGGTTTAGTGAACCCAGTTGACAGGCACCCACTGCTCCTTGGTTCTCATGTCATTTAAAGACTTGCGGAGGAGGCGGTAAGTTTCTTCAAAGTTATCATTGACGATGATTTCGTCAAAGTAGCTGCCATACTGCTTTTCTATCTGTGCACTCTCTTTCACAGTTTTGATAAAGTCATCCTCCTGAATAGAAAGAAAATCATGAAACATCATTTACTTTTTTTTTTAGTCGCTCCTCTTCCACCTTGTGGTGTAGAGGTTTGCCAGAGAGATTGCCAGACTTAACAATCAGCAGTTTTATCAAACAATAACAATAGCAAAAATGACCAATGTATCAACAAATAGTACTTTACCTACAACCTCTAGAGCATCTACAACTACTAGTTCATCAGCAGCTACTAGTGCATCCACAACTACTACAAGATTCACAGCTACTACTGTATCCACAATGGTAATATATCCACAACTGCTAATGTATCAACAGCAACTACTGTATCCATAATTAACTTACGTATCCGCAACCACCACTGTATCTGCAACTACTACTGTATCCACAACTACCACCCTAACCATAACTACCAGGGACTTCAGAAGTTATGCTTGCCACTTTGAACGGAGCATGTCTTTCTCAGCATACTTTGTTAGACTTACAATCACAACATGTGTGTGCATTGTATGTATGCTAGTGGTTCCCAAGCCAGCGAAAAATTGATGTGACCACCTCCGCCTCCATTCTCAAACTAGATGTTGTAGTATGATATCCTAGGCTTTGCTACGCTTAATGTCTAAGTGACATCTATTTGATGTCATAATGAACACTGCACTTTTTATACCTCTCACACAGATACACACCTGATGATCACATCACCTGGGAGGAAACTGAAGACAAAGAAAGAAGGAAAGAAAGAAAGAAAGAAAGAAAGAAAGAAAGAAAGAAAGAAAGAAAGAAAGAAAGAAAGAAAGAAAGAAAGAAAGAAAGAAAGAAAGAAAGAAAGAAAGAAAGAAAAAGAAAGAAAGAAACAACAATAAATCACACTGATATCAATACTTTGACTAGACATGACAAACAGAAAAATTTTGACAAATTCAAAACTTACACTTTTAATCTCCACAGGTCCTCCCTGGCAACAGGAAAAAAAAAAAGAAATAAAATAGATACTACAAAATATACTAATAGGAATAACATCATTAACATCATGTGCCATGTCAAGAGGCGTGGCATTCATGCCCTTCCACGACACATTATTTGTGGTTTTAATTTCTTCAACCCTGCAAATGTTGGAAAAAGGTTGCAGGAGTGACCAGAAGAGATCAAATCAGGAATGAGATCATTAGAGAAAACCGCACAGAATCAATTCTAAATGACATACAGAGCAAATCAAATGGTTTGCTCACAAAGAATGGCTTGTGACATACTATACAAGTATACACCAAAAGAAGAGAAGGGCGCAGAGCATGAGGTAGATCAAGAACCAGATGGAGAGATAAAATCAGAGAAACTCTACAACAGTACAATGTGTCTGTGGTTGAGAGAGTCTGAAGAACAAGAAGCAGAACATTATATCTCTCTCACATCCTAAGCTGCAACATAGGAAGTGAAGAAGAAGAACCACGGAAAATTCTCCATGTTCAACCCTTCAACATTTTCTCCCTCTTCTGTTGCCTTCAGCAATCCTACCATCACAAAATCCTACTGTCTGATAAAAAAATTTTAATTGTTTTTGTGTGTAATCAATCTCTTTGTGGCACACCTTAGGAATTCACACAGCTGTAACTTTGCAAAAGTTCTGGTTGTTCGTCCATTTCTGGACTACAGTTTTATTTTACAGATCTGACTTATCTGTGTTCAGACTTAATGCCCTGCCTATCAGGCAGAAGCATTCAAATTTGAAAAAAAAAAGAAAACCCCCAAAAAAGTAGATCATATCTAGGCTGACCAGGCTCTCAGTAGGGAACCTGTTTCTAGGACAACCACGGAGACATGTAGATAGATCTTGACCGGTTTGAACTTTGGTTCTGGTACACCACCACGTGTGGTTAGATACTTCTACATCCCACGCATGTTTCTAAGTCTCTCCTCTTGTCTTTCAGGAGTGTCTTTTCAACATAAGACAATATCATTACCTCCAAGTAAGGTAAATATTCATCACGCATTGGACATTACCATATGTGCTCTGATCTCCTATTGAGTATGTCTCAAAGTGTTTTAAGACTAACAACTCTATTCTGTTCTGACTGATGTAATGACAGGTGCCCCCCCCCCCCCCCCCCCCCCCCCCCCCCCCCCCCCCCCGGTTTTCCTGTCTTGCTGCTCCTTTTGGTACACACAGGGTATGCAGTCTATCCAGTGAAAAATCATTTTCCACTAAACTGAAAGCCTGACAGCGTTTAGACTCTCGTATGGCACTGATGATGTCTCTCCTGTCCACAGACAGCCTATTACTGTTGTCGCACTACCAGCCAGGTTGTTTGCTCTCTCAATGCCTTTCACACAAGCATATCCTGGGACAAAAATTAGGTGATTCTATGAAAAGCTGTGTGTTGTATCAGATGGAGCCACTGTTTCCATACATGCCACGCGTTGATCTTCTGCAGCATGCTCACTGAGTCATTTGCCTCTTTGAGAATTTTAATCTGGTGACAAGACTGACATATATGTGGTCACCACTGACAAAAGGATAGCATGCCAAGAACAAACTATGTTACTGATAAGGTAACTATCTGTCACTTGTCTCAGGGTCAAATACAATCTGGTTAAAAGTTTGTCATTTAATGGGCACTCCTGGCAAAGAGTTATCATTCGTAAGACAAACTATGTTGCCAGATAGGGTAAACATTAATTACCTGTCACTGCACCAAATAATATCTGGCGAAATGTCTGTTACTTACCCGGCCACCCCTGGCAAATCGTCGGCCCTCTTCGTACATGACCTTGAGAGCTTCTACACTGGGAGCAGCGATGAAGACAATGTAAGGCATAAACTCTTGTGTCTTCAACATTTTCAAAGCCTGTGTGGAAGTGGTACAACAGAATAAGCAATCTGGGAAGTCAATTTACTACAGATGTACAGTTTTCATATAATTTTTTGTTGGTCAGTTTCTTAATCTTACTAGAGACATAAATGAAGACCAACTGCTTATAAGATTTGATAAAACATACAAAACTGGCACATAAACATCATCATATCTCAGAAAGGAAACATACAGCCCAATTTAACACCAGAATGGTTTAGAAGGGAAAAAGAAAACAGTAATGAAAGGCATTGTTCCTGGAAGCAGAGGCAGGGGTTTAATCAAAATCATTATCATGTGACGTGCTGATAAGTGTAGGCTGTTATCGCCATCTCACACCATCACCAAAAGCATGGACCAGGTCAGTGTTCTTATCTCACCCCATCCATATGGAAAAGCCATCCAGGTATTTATCCCCAAGTAATGCCCTTACTATCTTTCCATTAATCTTGCCAGTTGGTACCAAGTTCCTGAGTCTACTAATTCCTTCTCATAACACGTCCGAAAAACACTGATTGTCTACATCTAATTTTTCTAATACGTTTATGATTGTTTTCTGTCTCGAGGAGAATGCCTTATGTGTTTTCTATCATTCCATGGTATTCTTTGCATCCTTCTCAAAAACAAAATCTCTGTTGTGAGTAAATATTTTTCAACTGGTCTGCTTTTTGTCCACGACTCACATACATCATAACAACACAGGTTCTATACAACAGAACATTTATAGTGGTGAATATCTTTTGCATCTTGCTAAAGGCCACTTTTACCATTGCCATTCTTGTTTTAATTTCTGCAAGGCATCTTGTATCAGATATTATGACTGTTCCGAGATAGTTGTAGCAATCTGTTACCTTAAAAAATGTTTCTATATGCATGTATTTGATACTGTGGTTTTACAAATGTGTCTTCTGTATGCAGACTGTTGGTCTCTCACCTCTCAGGCAGATATACTCTGAATTTGAAGGAAACATGGCTAATTAGTCACCTTTTACGACATGCTTTTTAAGGGGCAGTAAGTTTCTTCCGCCCCCCCCTCCCCCCCCCCCCCTCTTCCCATAAGGCCCTTAGTCCCATATAGTGAGTCTGCATATAAATAAGTCAGATCTGTCAAATGGATGTGCATGCAAAACTAAAGTTCTGGAACAAGACCAAAGTCTAGAAGTGGACAAACAACCAGAACTTTCTTCTGGGGCTTACAGCAAATGATGCTAAGAAGAAGTGTCAAGAAAGCTGCTGCTTATTTGTTTGGCACTGCAGCTGAAACGGGATGGAAAAGCCAACCCGAAAATCCATCACATCCTTAGCTATCTCTTAGGACATGCTTGGTAGATTCCAGTGTTACTATTCTTTGCTGTCCATAAGGGATACAAAGACACGGGCATAAAGCAGAATCTGCTATCCAACTACATGTGTGGTCCTTCAATATTCTTTCTTATTAGCCGACCATAGCAGGGGAAATCCACAGGTCATGGGACAGTCAAATATTTCAGGGGGTGGTAGATTAAGCTTAAAGTTTTGATTAGGTTAGGGTTAGAGTTAGGTTAATGCGCAAAAACCTTGGCCTTGGAAGAAACGCGCTAAAGCACAGAAAACACGGAAAACCCATTCTTACCGCCCTCTAAAATAATGGACTGTCCCGTAGCATCATTTGTGGTCAGCTAAAAAGAAAGCACCAGTCCTTCTTCTTCTTCATCTGCCCTATACAATATAGTAAGCCTATTGTGTAATGGTTTATACCCAGACGGTCCCAGCTGTGCCTTTCAGCCCTGCGTATCTGATTTGATTAAGGAATTCACTTTATCTCATTTCCACTGGCCGTTTTATGTTCTAGGGGTGTTATAAGATGCCTTCCTTCCCCTTCTATACACACCGTGACAAAAAATTGGCAGGCGTCTGTGTACAAAGAAGTTCTGCAGAGGGAAGCGCCAAAGGCGAGACGGTTCGTGAGTCGAATATTTTTCTGAATTTCTACGCTGGTTGGTGTGGCTGTCATCGGTGATGAATGTGCTTAAAGCACCTACAACCCTAGAGCATAGGGCAGCCTGTGGGAACAAATATGAAATCACGTAGCTAAGCAAGATGGAGTGAGATTCGTGAGCTGTACCCAGCAAACTCCTAATGAGTCACATTTTAGGACATGCTTGCAAAGGGGTAGTGGGTCTATCCCCCCCTCCCCCCCCCCACTACAGGGAGAGAACTAAATTTATATTAAAAGCCACGCTATAGTGGATTAGGCTGTTACCCCACCCCTCCCCACCCCCTTTTCATATAAAGTCCTATTGTGCCAATAATGTCCACTTACCAGGGGGCTAACATCAAGGACACACATCTTTCCTTGCTTGACCACATCCCAGCACGAGTCCACTCTTGTCCCATAAAGGTTGCCATTAAACTCCCCATATTCCACATATTTATTCTCCAGAATGTCCCGCTCCATGGTCTCACGGTCAGTGAAATAGTAGCCTTGGCCGTCCACTTCCTTGTTTCGAGGAGCCCTGGATGTGTCTGAAAAATTGAACAATTTCCATTGTAAATAAATTATAAGTGAATATCTCCAAATAATACACACACAAAACTCAATAATACATTTGTAAAAACCAATCAAACATACATATAATTTAAAAATACATATATAAAAACCAAAAATACATTTATAAATCCCAATAATACAACCATAAACTCAACAATACCTATATTAAAAAAACAATAACACATATATAAACCCAACAAAAAACTTACAATCCAATGATATATACATAAAAACCAAAAACAGATATATAGAATCCAATAATACAAACACAGAAATGCAACAATACATATACAGAACAATCAGATATACATAAATTTGTCTCAGTAATACACAGCCCCCAAGAAACAGTCGAAGATATACAAAAACTGCCCCAGTAATGCACACACAAAACAAATGATTCACAAAATCCAGAAACTCCCTCTTGGTGGCTAAACACTTTTTGGGTAATTGGTCTGAATTTACTTAGTTGGCAGGTTGGACATTAGAGTAGATGTTAAAGGTAAACTGGCTACATGGTAAATAAACGGTGAGAAGGATATTGCATCATTTGATTATATGAGTGTAATACATACAAGGTTCCGCCCAGAAACTCATATATATGAGTATATATATATATATATATATATATATATATATATATATATACACACACACAAACACACAGACAGAATCTGCTAGTAACTTACGAGCTATTGGTGTTCCAAATCTTCGTGGATCATCTTTGATTAATCTTTCCTTTAGTGACCTGCGTCCCACACCTTTAGCACCAACAAGCACCAAGAATGGACGTTCAAAAGGTGCCATGCGACGCACCTCTTCATAGATCATGACATCCGCCTTGTCAAACTCTATAGGATACAAAATATGTTAAAAGGTTAGAGAACTTACTTCACCTGATATGGTTTTATTCCATCTGGTTTGGGCCCTTTTGAACAGCAGTTAGCCAAATGATGTCAGTAACACCAGCACTGACCCTAGAGGATCTCTGAAAAGTCTACACTCAGGAAACAAACGTATGCAGTACAAAACTGAACACAACAACCTTCAGAGGGCACAGCAAATTGGATGAATACTTCACCTTGAAGATCCCAAGATGTAAAGCAATCAACAAATTAACCAACACACTAGCTTTCCATTAGATCCTTTGCAGAATGTTACTACCATTAAAACCCAAAAGACCCAGACTAGAGGCTGACGTCAGGATATGAACCCAAGGCCTTCTGACCCACAGGCGAGTGTCTGGCTGCTGCATGACATCTGCCTTGAGTGTATGTGTACATGTATATGTATGTGTGTGAGCAAACATGTGCACATAAATTCCCACATGGGCATGTGCGCACATATCCATACAAGCAGCCCCCTCCCCAACAGCCCTCACTAGGTACCAGAGTACCGCTCCAAGCCACTAGTTTTGGTGCAATTTACATTTCTTAGCTAACATAACTGGCACAAAGAAACCAAAATACAATTGTAACCGATACTGCTCACAGTAGGTTGAACGTGGTTGATTTTTGTTTGTTTTGTTTTAACAAATGGATGGATGGATATGGGAAGTAATTGTCTGTTATTTTAAAGCCCCACTTCAACTGTTGTCGGGGGCCTTAATATAACCTAATGGTTCAAAGGGGTTTCTGGGACTTGTGGTCGGGTGAATCATCTAAATGGTGGCATTTTGGGTCACCAGGTGTTTACAGCAGGTTGTGCAGTCCTGGTGAGGTTGAAAGTCAGCTAGTAAGTGCCTTGATTCTGTGGCAATTTCCCTGCATCATGGATTTCCACTATTCTCCCATGTCCACCTCTATGGTGAGCAACCACTGCCTCTTCCATGCCCCCCTCCCTCACAATATCGGATGTTCTTTCATGTGGAACACTTATTAGGCTGTTTCCCACGTAGACCTTATTTCTTTAATTTTAAGCTTAATTTGTAATTATCTGGATTGAATTAGGAAACAGTTGTTTGGTATTTTCACACAATGTACTAATCAATGAGGAATTCATAGTATCAATATGCTTATTCTTTTCCCCCGTTTGGAAAAAAAAAAAAAAGCAGGAAGACAGAAAGATAATAAAAGGAAGGAAGAAGGAAAGAAAGAAAAAAGAGACAAAAAAAAAAAAAAAAAAAAAGCATTTGTTTTAAAATCATCGCATACAAATTCTACATTAACTAGAAATTTGTACCTTTATTGTCCTTTGAACTGTATTTGATTGTTTTCTTTTTCTTTTTGGTCAAGCCACAGACTGCAGGAGACAACAGAAAAATAACAACAACAGTGTTAACACCACAAGCTCAACAATGTGGATGTCAGCACCTACATATTTATAATCAGAAAGTGACAGCCTCTACACATATTCAGAAGGATCAACACAGAAACAGATAAATGAATGAAAGAATGAGTTAATGAATGAATATAAAATTGACACCACTGCATCTGGGACATATGCACCTTCCCTTCCTTCAATATTCAAAGAGTTCCTATGCTGATCGTGTCAGTGATAACCTAAATAAAAGCCACCTATCTTTTTATCTGCATGTTAAGTGTCACCCAGACTTTCTCACCTTGATCTTGAAAAAAAAAAAAATGTTTAAACTCGGACTGCTTCAACCTGCCACGAGGGCTAGGTTTTATTTGCGTCCTTGGTTCTTTGTGGTTTAGTAGCGTTCTTCTCTTGTGGTGCATAGATATGCCTGATGTATTGTTACTTTGTTCTCCTTGCCACTGTCGGAGTTGGAGATGATTTCTTTGCTGGTTGTCAAGCACACCGTCACTGACTGCACCAGGGCGGCCGCCAAGCACACCCTCCCCAAAAAAAGAAAAGCCTGCCGTTGAGCCACCGTGCCATTCACAAAGCCCTTTTCAGGGTCCCATATTTAACTTCTTTTTTTTTTGCTTTTCTTAATGGATGCTCTGTCTGTTCCACTGCTCCTAAAAAACATGATCCCAGAGTTTTCCTCGTGTTCATCATATCAGTAGCTCACTGTTCAGAGAAGTGGCAGTAGCTCATTAATCAACCTGTTCATTTCCTCACACACCTGCACATCCAAGACCTTAAATCCATTATAAGCTCTCGACCTGAGCATACCAAATAACACAAGCCAATGTGTACCATACTTGTCTTTATTTTCTGAAGCATGCTCTGTAAAGTCCATTACAAACACCTGTCAGGCTCATCATTACCTTTTACTCCAGTTGTCCCAGGTGTGCAGAAATAGGTGTTCAATCATTCTTTGTCTTGCATGCTTTCCCTCTGCCTTACATTCTGGTTGTTCCTCCATTTGCATTTTGCATCCACATCCATTTTACAGATACAGCTTATTCGAATGCAGATTGTTAGTTCCTTACTTCTCAGACAGATGCACTCTGACTTTGAAGGAAGCACACATAATTAGTCAACTCTTATGACAGTGAGTGGGTCTATCCACACAAAATATCCTCCCCTCCCCAACCATAATACCGTCCTGAAACCTGCATGGGAAACATGCCAGCACCACATGAGGCTCTGAATCATTATCTGAAGAATGTTAATATGCGTTTATATTAAAACTAACAGAATTCCGTATTTTCATTTTCAAGTACTTACATAAGCTACTCTTTGAGTAATCCAAATCTGGGTTGACAAAAGATTTTCGCTTCTCCTCCAATGCCTGGGACGGAACCAGACCAACTGGGCCGTTGATGTCAGCCAGACGAGCCTATCAATTTGTCAGATAACAATGCATTACTACCTGTGTTTGTTTACAAGACTTACAGAGTGCATCAATACTAATGCTAATTGAAACAAAGGTGAACAGCAAAAATCTATAATTAAAAAAAAGCAAATTTGGGGGTTGGGGAATAATAAAATACTTAAAAGACAGAGATTAAATACAACCAAACATTTCAAGGGCAAGGCGAAATAAGGAAAGGAAGCAGTATTTAACTTGGTGGCTGTTCTTCCTGCCTCTGGGCCGACAAATGAAGGACTGACACTTCCAAGTCTCACCAAAGAGTTACGTCCTGGATGCCAATCCAACAGATTACAGAGCAAATCCAGATACTATGTTCACCTTCTGTAGCAGACATCCATATAAGTTAAACCAAGTACTAGTCTTGAGCATCCTACTGTCCAACACGGGTAAGGATTAAAGAAATAAGGATTTTAAATGAAGAAGATAAAAAAGTTGACAAAGTTAAATGGAGGATGAACTGACAGCATCTTCTTTTTCTTCCTCTTTTTAATTAAGTGTATCACACTAGTTATACATTCGGCATAAGCATTTGACTTCAGCAGGTATTAGTGCCATGGGTTATTTCCACTAAACCAGAGCTTTTGGAACTTTTCATGCTGGTGACACATTTTTTAGACAAACATAATTGTGCGACACAGTAATTACTCTACTGGCAAACCTGAGATTTTTATCCCCAAAAAATAAATGAATGTGTAGAGAGGCTCTGTAATGACATACCATTTAACAGTCACAGCCAGTAGCTGACATAAAATGAAAATAAATATGGCATGAAACTGCTAAAATGCACACAGCACTGCATGCATATTATTCTATTCAGCGCTTCACATATGCGTGACATACTTCCACACTGCAGCCAAAACATTTATGTGTTGCAGCACAGTTTTGGAAGCTCTGCTGTAAAGAGCAGTTTCACAAAGCGAATAATACCACCCACTGGGGGTGGGGAGGGGGGCTCATAGAGTGATCCAGGGAACAGCAGTAGCTTCAGATGCAACTGGAAGGTGGGGTATTTATTTATTGGGGTGGTGGAATAAGAAGAAGGAAAAAATGTATAAATAAAACAAAATGAATTTGTCTCTGCATCTTTCTGTGTGTTCAGTTACAGAAGATAGGCGTCTCCAGTAAAGAGGAGGCGGAGGCCTTTATGGTAAACCTGTAAGGGACAGTGTGGGTCTATTCTTTCCCTCACAAAATGGGGCCTTGGAACCCACATAGGAAGACTCAATATGTTCAGGCTACCTACCTGCCACCAGTTGGTGTCATCTGTGCTGACAATTTCTAGAATGTCTCCATCATTGAAAGGAAGTCCTGCCTCCTTGCATGGCAGCAGTCGGTCTTTAGCTGGGTCCCAGCTGAAATGTGCTTTCATGTAAACCTGTGATGAATGACACCATTACAAGAATAACTCAATCAGGATATCTCAATTTTGACAAACTCGCAACCAACAAAACAGATCTCAACCAACATTAAACATTTCCACCTACACAACAGATATCAAGTAATACAAAAGATCACAACCAATACAACAGACCTCAACCTACACAGTAAATCTCAACCAATACAATACATCTCAACATTGTTAATTTAGTGTCCAATTTTCAATGTGATGGTTGACACTGTTCTGTCTTGATATCTGCTATTTATGGTCTGATGTTGAAAAGGGCACAATTAAGATCACTCTCCACAACAAATGGAGAGTGCTATTTTGTTTTCATAACTTTTAAAGCTGAAAAATCTTTACTGAATTCATTTTCAAAATTGCCCGAGACATCCTTACACCCCCAATGGAAAGGGGGGTTGGGGGGGGGGGGGGGGGCTAACATGCTTGAAGTATACTAAAATTGCCCATACTTACAGGCTCGGATTTGTTGATACGCTGGAAGGATGGGATAATCTTCAAGGTGATGTCAGGATCAGAATCTATGATCAGTTCCATCATCATCTCTGGAGTGGCCACGGGAAAGCCATTCACTTCGCGGATGATGTCTCCAACATGAAGCATCCCTGTATATAAAGAGAACATCTCACTATACACCTTCATAAGCTTGTTTCATCAACTAAAAAACATCTCACTATACACCTTCATAAGCTTGTTTCATCAACTAAAATGATGCAATTGAGCTTTCCAGAGTTTAAAACAGATTTTAATGTTCACACGTTGCTGTAAACCAGGCAAATTTCACTAGCTAAACAAAATGGTGGGTTACTTGTCATCTGCTGACAGGGCAGGATTAAAGTTGGGCCAAATCGTAGAAATAAGGTGTCTATTTGGGTAACATGCTTTGCTTCATTCAGAGATGGCATATTTGTCTTGGCAATAAGAAAATCAGTCACAATATTTAACTGCCAAACTGAGTGTTTAAATATAATTTTGTTTTTAACTCAACATTAAGGTTATTTATTATAGTTAGAAATAATTCCGTTTAAATCTTAACAGCAGAGTTATTTAATATCATTATATTGTAAAATAGACACTTTTTTATGCAATGCATTTCTTTCGAGAATAATGCATTTAGTCTAGCTACATGAGCTACCCTTCAAAGTGTTTCAGTCTCCTTCTAAAGACCACAAAAGTTATCTGTTTACAAGACGTATACTTAATGCTACTGGCTGTGTTCATTCATGCACTTGTATGTTTGAGGTCAGGATGTGAATATATTAATTAAAGGTAGCTTTAGGATGTTGAAAAGGGGAGTGAGTGCAAGGGAAAAGGGGGGGGGGGAAGGGTCCTTCAAACTCGATGGTTTCTTTAAAAGCCAAGCTGATGTCATTTTTTCCCATTAGCCTCAATGATAGAGGTCACAGAGTCATAGCATTAGTCACCCGATAGATATAATTTTTAGGCTCCAGGGCATGTATTCCACTTAATGCTTAGTGACCTCTATAAAACTCTTGTTTTTAAAGGATTTTCGTCTGAGAATTCCCTTGGAGTCATGACCTATTTTTTAAGAGTTACCGGGGCGACAGGGTTAAGCGAGTTCAAGTTAACTCTCCTTTTGCTCCTGGTACTGGTGTTGCTAAAAAAAACGAAAAACTTCTTGCCTCTTTCAACCGGCTCCTAGATTGAGCTTTGGTTATATCGAAGCGGTGTTTTGTTGTCTGGAGTTTTGTTATCCAGTTATAGTCGTTTCTGTTGTGGCGATTTACATTTCTGCCTGAGGTTAGTTGCTTCTGTCAGAGTGAGGTAGGTGGGCGCGGCTGGGCGGCGGACATATGTCATCTGGTTGTGGGCTGTGAGGTTTCTCAGGGCTGGTGGGCGTGGTTGTTCAGCTGTCATGGCGGCTTGTGAGGTTTTCATTGGTTGCTGCATGTTGGCTTTCAACTTGTTACTTCACGTGGGCGTCGTTTCCGTTTGAGTGGGCTGCTATCTTCGTTTTGTTGTTTCTTATGCTTTCGAGTTGAAGATGCCGGGTGGCTTCTTTGAGTTGCTTCACCTCCTTGTTGATTGCTGCGAAGTCGCCTTTCAGGCATTCCTTGAGGATGTATAGGTCTTGTGTGCACTTCTTCTCTAGATCTCCGGGTTTCACGTGTGCGTCGTGGATCTGCCTTTTTCTGTCTTTTTCTTTCTTCGCGTTTTCTCTGGCTTCTATCACTCTGTGCGTGGCTTCGATTACACAGCTGAGTTTGTCGCATTCATTGTTTGTCTCGGCTACCTCTGCTTTTGTTTTTGTCAGGTCTTTCTTGATGGTGGCTATCTCGGAAAGTATACTTTTCTGGTTGTCTTTCAGTTCTTTGGCGGCTACTGCGTCTGTTTCCTTTAACTTCTTGAGGTCGGTTAGATTTGCCATCAATTCTGTTTTGAACTTCGCCATTTCTGTATTTTCCTCCTCGAGTCTTCTTTGCGTCTCGAGAGATGCCTGCAGGACCTTTTGCTCCTGGACAACGATCCTTCTTATAAAGCATGGATAGTGCAGCTAACAGCCAACAATTTGAGAGTTAAAGTTCTTTCACATTCACTACAATTACCAGATTGACACCCTCAGACTTTTTTTTCCTGTTCCCAAAGCTTTAAAAATAGATAAAAGAATTATGTTTGTCAGTGATAAAGAAGTTACAATGACCTGTGATAACTGGTTTAGCTAAAAAAAAAAAATAGATAAAAGAATTATGTTTGTCAGTGATAAAGAAGTCACAATGACCTGTGATAACTGGTTTAGCTAAAAAAAATAGATAAAAGAATTATGTTTGTCAGTGATAAAGAAGTCACAATGACCTGTAATAACTGGTTTAGCTAAAAAAAATAGATAAAAGAATTATGTTTGTCAGTGATAAAGAAGTCACAATGACCTGTGATAACTGGTTTAGCTAAAAAAAATTTGGTGTTCAATTCCCAAGGTCAAGCAGAGATGGCAGAATTTTTTTAATATTGAAGAGGAATAAACAATGTTACAAATTTCTGCTTTCTATGTCATTTCATTTATATTCAGGGTGAAGACTTATGAATCACCCCTTGTACTTGCGGGTAGGTTTCTAATTTGGAAATCAGGCCCTATCAACACCCAAACCCAGCAAACAAAGAAATCCTGCTTCTTTCAGGAAATGAGCCATGAACCACTGTTGGTAAGCAGGACCACTAACTATGAAACTAAAACAATCTCCTGAGGAATGCAGCTGAAAGGTGTTAAAAAGCAACTGGACTGAATTTCCTGCACTGGGATTTTATCCATCATGGCTTGGTCTTTCTCAGCAGCAATACCCAGGAATCTCCTAAACACCTGCTCTTGCGAACTGGAATCCAGAATTAAACTGATGACATTGAGAACATGAAGCAAACAATTTAACAACCTCACCATATAGACCTGAACGATAATCAGCAGTTCACCACACAAAATTACCTTGTTTATCGACAATGCTGCCTTGTAAAATCCTGGCCACTTGCAGGTCATTATTCTCATCCAGCTTGACTGTAATACCCTGGGTGAGCAAAGGAACGTACAAACAAACTTTATTTTCAAAGAGATAAGAAATTAGCATGCGGGCCTGTCTAGCATTCTGCCCTTCCACTCCACTCCTTCTACACATTTTTTCATTTGTATATTATTTCATAGATAATAATAATGAAAAGACAATTAAATAAGGTCCTTTAAATGAAAAGCACATGATAGATTGTTCTAAGTGTGCATGGAACTTGTGGATTTCAGGGATCACATATCATATACACATCACAAACTGAACATAACTATCTGTGAAAATGAGTTGTCTCTGTAAGGTCATGAACAACACAAGAAGGGGCCGGTTAAGAATATTAGCATTAGAGAGAAAGTTGTCTGAACTATACTGGGGCAAAGGATGAAATGGTTCTACCATCTAGTAAAAATGAAGCCAGACCAACTGCATATGAGATGTTTTACAGCCAAATTTATAGGAGGAAGGTGAGAGAAAGCCCAAGAGAGATACGGATAAATGGTGTAGCTAAAACCTGCAAAAAAGATGAAAAAATCCACCACTTAAGGACTTGAGAAATACAAGAAATTTTTTTAAAAATCACAACACTGAACTACAATCTGGTATCAGTGAGACAACAAAAAAAGAAGACACATCATACATATCATTTTTGATTTCTAATAAACGAGACCTCATTCCATAAGGGAAGAAAGATAACTCACTCTAGAAGGGAACAAAAAGATCTCATTCTAGAAGGAAAGAAAGAGACTATTTAAGAAGGGCAGAATATGTTAGACTATTACAATAGACATCAATGCACATCGGGCATTCTCATGTGTGCTCTGTCCTCTGATGCAGCTGCCACCTTAGGTACCAACCTTTCTTTGAAGAAAGAATACAAAGTGGCTTCAAATTAAGGTTTGAAAAAAATTATAATAACTATGCCATTGACTTGTAACACGTCAATAATGTTGTTTAGGATGTCAAGAGTGTTAAGCACATGACATCATGGTGCAGATGAACAAACCAAAGTCATAATGATAGTTTAAAGATGGCCGCCTCACTTCTGACATGAACACACACAAAAAGCAGTGTTCTGTTATCCTTTTTTTTTAATCAGGGAAGACTGAAACTCACAGACAATCAATGGAGAATGAAGGTCAAGTATGTTAATGTATGCCTTTCAGTCAAGCAAGTGTGTGAGTTGTATGCACTCAACTCTGTAGCTGCTATTCGAAGTACCTGACCCAGTCGTGAATAGTCTGTCACAGAATTCATATCGTTTTGAAACTTCTGACTTCATATACTGGACTGCCAGAGATCTCATATTAGGAAGAAAGACAAAGACCTTAGGAAAAAAAGACACCTCATATTAGAAAGGATCAAAGAAACTTCACACTTAAAAAGATCAAAGAAATCTCACACTTGGAAGAAAGAGACACATCTTAGAAAATAAGAGACCCCACTTGGAGATGAAAGAGATCTCAAATTAAAACAGATAGAAAGACCACAAATCAGAAATGATCAGAGTGACCTCACACTACAAGGAATAAAAAAGACCTTACATTAGAAGGGATCAGAGAAACCATAAACTAAAAGGAATTTTTAAAACCTCACATGAGGAGGGATCAAAGAAACAGTGGGAAGAAAGAGATTTCACATTAAAACAAATAAACCACACACCAGAAGGGAATGAGATAACCTTGCATCAGAACAGATCAGAGACAGTTCACATTAGAAGAGTTAAAAAATACTTCATGTTAGAAGAGAAAAATCTTCAGATTTCAAAGGTTGATGTATGTCCAGCAATGTATGAGTTATATACACACATATTTGCTACAATGTTCACAATGTTATTTATATCCAGCATGTCATATAATCACACCTATACAGACTGCCCACAACCAAATTTTTAATTTCCTAGATTATTTTGTGGCTTACTGATGTTCACTTACACTTTTCATATAAGTTAGTTGCATATCCTTGACTAGACATTGCAGAACCGAACTGAGTGTTATTGTGTGTTTTGTTTTTAGTATTACTAGGCAATTTTGCATTCAATAAGTTGCTTTCTGAATAATACAAAAGGTTGTAGATACTCATGAAAGTATATCAAACTAAGTCAAATTGACAATATCACAAATGACAAGTGAACGGTGCAAGAGCTTTCATCGGCATATTATATAAATCTGCAATACCACAGGTATGAACAATAAAATACAAATCACTTAACTGAAGTATCTCAATAAACACAAATTTAAAAGACTTACAAGAATGAAATAAGGTACTCACCAATGGCTCTGTCTGTGACTTCCTGATGTTGACATAACGGACCTGTTCCTGTAAATCTGTGAACACCGGAGGGAGGGGACCCAGTAACTGCGGGCCTTTTGTAATCATCTGAGACTTGTCAATGTCACCTTCAAAGTTTTTGTTGATGATGTCATCATGAACAACTAACAAAGCCTGCAGGTTGAATAAAAGGACTGGGTTATGATATTCTTATCTGTCCTACTGCTTATGCTGTAAAGCATCAGAGAGAGGAGTTACAGGTAGTTTCCTGTGTTTTGCAAATTGTGTTGTTTTTGTTAATGTCATATTATGTTTCTTAAGTGTCTCTTTTACTCCATGTACCTATATTATTCTCGATTAGCCTCTTGACTTGTAGCCTGCTGTTATCTAACTGCTAGCTGACCAAACCATTTAATTCTTTGACCTTCTATGAAATAATTTACTGGTTGGTTCACCTACAGGCCTGAAGGTCTCTGATTTAAATCCACACTGAGGCAGTTTTGTTTTCTTCAAAACTGACCTTGGCTCCAAGGCCGACCCAGGCTGAAATGGGAACCAAATTATGTCCTGGGAAGTAAAAGTTGACGGTGTGATGTTGACCGCATCAGCCACTAAGTGCTGACTGGTCTATACAAATGTGAGTCTAGCACCATATGTCTGATGTGCCACTGGCATAAAAAGGCTCCTTTAACACTTCACGTCCCAAGGCGGTGTCTGCTCTAGGGCTGGGATAGCACAGTGTCTGCTCTAGGGCTGGGATAGCACACAGTGTCTGCTCTAGGGTTGGGATAGCACACAGTGTCTGCTCTAGGTCTGGGAGAGCACAGTGTCTGCTCTAGGGCTGGGATAGCACACAGTCTGCTCTAGGGCTGGGATAGCACACAGTGTCTGCTCTAGGGCTGGGAGAGCACAGTGTCTGCTCTAGGGCTGGGATAGCACACAGTGTCTGCTCTAGGGTTGGGATAGCACACAGTGTCTGCTCTAGGGCTGGGAGAGCACAGTGTCTGCTCTAGGGCTGGGATAGCACATAGTGTCTGCTCTAGGGCTGGGATAGCACACAGTGTCTGCTCTAGGGCTGGGATAGCACACAGTGTCTGCTCTAGGGCTGGGATAGCACACAGTGTCTGCTCTAGGGCTGGGAGAGCACAGTGTCTGCTCTAGGTCTGGGAGCGCCGATTGGTTTATAAAATATAGATCTAGTTCTATATGCCTGAAGGCGAGGAAAAAGGTCCTTTACTTTCTTACAATAGTATAGAAAAGCAACTGACTCATACACTAGATAATATAAATATTGGAAGCTTTAGTTTGGTCTGGTTGTGTATCAAACTACATTTGGCCTTTCAGTGTTTTTGCTGTGCAATCTAATAACTTGTGGCTTGTCTTCTAATACGGCTGGACAATGAACAAGAAATTAGAAAGTCCACCTGAGATCCTGAAGATATGAACATAGAAATGTTGGACAGAAAAATTAATAATTCTCCAAAAAGTTACAAAACTAGATTCTTTAAAAATTTTAAAAAATTGACACGGCTAGAATTCTCTACCATACATTTAACACATATATAGCCAGAATTCTCTACCAGACATATAACACCTGATATATAGCCAGAATTCTCTACCAGACACATAACACTTGACTTATAGCCAGAATTCTCTACCAGACACATAACACATGACTTATAGCCAGAATTCTCTACCAGACACATAACACTTGAGATATAGCTAGAATTCTCTACCAGACACATAACACTTGAGATATAGCCAGAATTCTCTACCAGACATATAACACATGACTTATAGCCAGAATTCTCTACCAGACACATAACACTTGAGATATAGCTAGAATTCTCTACCAGACACATAACACTTGAGATATAGCCAGAATTCTCTACCAGACATATAACACATGACTTATAGCCAGAATTCTCTACCAGACACATAACACATGACTTATAGCCAGACACATAACACTGACATACTGCCTAATTCTCAACCACCCAAATAACACTGAACCCTCACCCTGAAGTGTGGATTTGCCAATATCTCCTTCAGCTCCTCACCCTCGGCAGTGTCATGAAAGTCCTCCAGGAACTCCAACAAATCTGTAGCAGCAGACACAGCTTCATGTCCTTGAGGCGGAGGTAATTTCACCTCCAAGTCTTCGTGTATCTATAATGTAGACATAAAACAAATTGTTGTGTATCTGATACTACAGATAAAAGCAAAAAATTGTCAGGTACTTGAAGTCACAAACAGAGGACAAAGATTGTCATGTATCTGTGCTTCCCTGAGGGTAAAAATACCTTCCCTCCCCCCTCTCAAAAAAGCCCCAGCACAATTTTTCAGAATACTTTTAATATAAGCCCTATCCCAAAAATCATTATCTCACTTGTGTATATGTGGAAAAGGGGGGGGGGGGGGGGGGGGGGGACCAATAGAAGCCTCAAGAAAAACACAAGCAATGATTACATTTTAGCCAAGAGAAATTAAATCAACAAAGAGGTGATTGTTGTCAAGATTATATGAAGAATGACTGAACACATACAAAACCAACAGGGAAACTCAGTGAACAGAAATACTGTCTGTATTTAATTTCCTTCATCTTCCCAGTTGATGTTTTTTTTTTGAAGTAAATGTATAAGTTGTTGAAAGATGATTAACAAGACCTGATCCTGGCAACTATGTCAAGCATGACCATCGAGAGAACTGCTGCTGCCAGACCACTAGCATGGGGAGCAGAACAAGCTGTCATGCAGGCAGTAATTATTTCAGATTCCATGAACATGGTTCAGAAAATCACAACAGGTAGTATGACCTTTGATGGATTCAAAAATGGCACTTAACCTCTCTCACCTGAATCTACACACCTGGTCTTGCCGGTGTTAAAAGGTAATGAGATAGCTGATTAATCTGCACAAACGAATGCAGGAGGAAACATATATAAAGCGAATATCATCAAAGCTAGTAGGGACTGAGCTAGTGGATAATGGTAAATCTCCTACACTAACACGATTGTGTGACCTAGGAATAAAGCAATGTGAAGCATGTCTATGCTACCTTTGAGGCCAAGACAGGAGTCATTATAACCAATTCTTCATGGGAACAAACAATAGTGGTACCTTGGAGTGGCTGCTGCATCTGAAGATTGAGCATGCATGGGAATTCCTATTGTGCAGTGACACAGCTGTGATAAAATACCATAACGAGACCTGATCTATGATTCTGGTGATCAGACAGGATGGCCAACCATGACTGTCTAAGCTTGTTAGCGGGTAAATGATGATGATAATAAAATGTTCAAGCTCTATAAATCTCCATGTTGCCTTTTTTTTTTGTGTAAGCAAGCAAATTAAGAGGATATTAAGAAGACTTAAATTTATTAATGGAAAAAAAGTTCCTTGCCAAATAAAATTGATTCTTCACTTTGAAAAAAAAAATGAAATATAACTTTATGTGTTAAACAAATACATAAGACTATATTTAAAAATTGTGTTTGTCATCCCCATGTGGGGTGCAATTTTAAGTTATTTTGAAGCTGCACCCTGGCTTTTGCCAGGAGCCCTAAATATAACGGGGCCTGAAATATGGGCCTAACGGCTGAACAGGGTTTCCAGGACCTCTCCATGCGTGATCCTCATCTGCATGGTGGCACTTTGTGTCACTGTGTGTTTATCGCTTGTGTGATGTCCTGGTGGGGTACAACTTACATACATACATGCAGCTTAATGTGCAGAAAAGAAGGAAACAATCTAAGTTTTAAATAAACAGACAAACAATTATGATTACACACATCAATAATTGGAAACAAGACACCATCTGTCAAGATTGCTCTCAGAAAGTCTATTTCATCATCACTGGCTCCCAAATTATAGAGATCATCGAGCTGATCTACTACAATCTCAATAGCCTCTGCAAAATAATAAAAATAAAGATGGTTAAATATGAACAGTTCATTGAAAACCAGTAAAGTATAGTAAAGGTCAAGAGTTTATACAGTGAAACCCCGTTAACGAATTCAAAACGTTTATGTTGAAAAAACTTGCTAACCGGGGTTTCAAAATATCCCTCCCTGTTGGGATCAAACGTGTGTTCTTCTTCGTCTTTTTCACGTTCACCAGCTGTAAACTCTGGTGGAAAGTTCTGGTTGTTCATCCACTTCTGGACTGCAGTCTTGTTCCAGAACCTGAGTGTTGCGTGTGCATCCATTTTACAGATCTGAGTCATTTGTATGCAGACTTCTTGTTCCTTGCCTCTCAGGCAGATGCACTTCGACTTTGAAGGAAGTTCCCAATTAGTCCACTCGTACGACATGCTTTTGGGTAGGCAGTGGGTCTCTTCTTGTTTTCCCTATAAAGGGCCCCGGGACCCACACAAAGAAAACTTGTGTTCTATTAACCAAGCGTTCTTCTCAAGCAAGTTCGTGTTAAAGTGTTGAATCAGGCATAGGGTGCTAAACCTATATTTTTATAGATTAAACTGGTACTCAATGGATAATGCAGCCAACATTAAGCCAGCCATTTTAAATGACATTTTCTGGAGTGCTTATTTTAAGTTAGGTCAACTCGAGTAACCAGGCAAAATCTGATTAAGAATGGGAGAGCATTCAAGGGACTGAAAATCTAGCTTTTGTTCAACTCCAGTTCAACATTCCCAGACCAGAACCCTGGAGAATTAATTCCAGGTTCATTTAACAGTTTCAACACAACAAGTGAAGCAGCTGTTACTGGTTATAAACCTGTATAACTGAGAGATGCCAACATTACAACACTCTACAAAAATAAAGGAGACAGAAGCAACTGTAATAACTATTGCAGCATCTCTTTGTTACTCTAGACTGGCAAAGTCTTTGCTCACGTGATCCTGAAGAGACTGCAGGTTCTAGTAGATAATATATATTCGGAATCACAGTGTGGGTCTAGAGCCAAGATTTCAACAGTAGCTTTGATCTTCTCCATCAGGCAGCTAGAAGAAAAGTGCAGGAAGCAATAGAAGTCACTGTTTATTGTGAGAGATACCAGCTAAGTGATTTTGTGTATCTATGTAGTATTGTTTAATCTGTATGTGCTGATGAAGGCTCAGTAGTCGCAACGTTCACGTTTTGTTTGTATTTGTTATATTGTGAAGCTTGCTAATATACTTTTCATTTTATATCTTTTCTTGATATTGTTTATTGTGGCAGAGACTGTCACTCCCACACTGGACTTAACATTCATAGCAGACATTGTTCCCAAAACCAGTGACACAACTCCAAAGTCCACAGGGACTGATGGTTACCAGTATGCAGGAGACCCAGGTTCAAACCCTCAGTAAGGTTTGTGATATGTTTCTGCCTGGGGCCAAAATGTTACCCTAACTCGCAGGATCTGTGGCGACAGCTAGCTATTGGTTTTAAATCCTGAGGCTCAAAAACTCCCCCTGCATTTACAACAAAAATGTTAAATACAGCAGAAATGGGAAACAGAACCTATTCTTAACAATCTCACTACTAATAAATCCATCAATCATCAATATTAATCCTTACCTTTGGCACTGAGTGCTTCGGTTGTCGCTGTAGGCATGTCACAGCTATTGTTCCGTCTCTACTTACAAAAGCTGTTGATAGAAAGAGGATAAACATAACAGTGAAGCTGCAGTGGTCGACGCTAGGGTGTTTGCCTGCCAAGTGCATGGTCTGGGCTTGATTCATTTGCTATAAAGCAACGAACCATGCACTGGTTGAGTTCTACCTAGATTATACATGTTTCTCAACTGAGCAATTCACATCAGTTGTTACACTAACCCACACTGCTCCAGTCTTTACCTTAACTCCTTTCCTTCATATTATTACACATGTAACTGTTTCTGACTCAAACATTTAAGAGTTAAAGTAACAACTTTCTGTGTCACATTTAACTGAACAATATCTACTTGGTAAAAAAGGAATTAACCCCTAGCAAAAGCAGGATAATTTGTTTTAAGACCTAGTTGTATTAAAGTGTGTACCCACACCTCACACACAAAAATTCTGGGAGCGCAAAGCGATGAAGAAAGAAGCTATCAATGGACTGACCAGTTTGTCCCCTCCAAGCTGCTATCTAAAGGCTTACTATACCATCCTGAGATTTAAAAATCTCCAACTGGAATTAGATCACCCAAAACTGCTACACCAACCAGGTGTATGTAACCTGCAGTCCTATGTGGGTAAGGACTAGAAAGGAGCTGGCCAATCCCTTCTGACAGTCATGCCAAAGCCTAGGACAGGGCTTTTAAAACTGTTCATGTTGGTGATACACTGATACACTTTTCAGACAAACTTGATTTCACCATACAGTAATTCAATCTACTCGCAAACCAGAATGAAAAATGGAATGTTGTGTGCTGATATTTCTGCTTAACGCTTTACATTCAAGCGACACCTTGACAGTGTAGTCAACACACTGATGTTTCGTGACACAGTTTTGAAAGCTCTGGTATAAAAAATATGAAGTCCTAGTAATTCATATCCCAATGGCAAAATCGGCTATATGATGCCATATAACCCGATGACCCCGTTAAATGTTAAAATCTGGGCTTATCAGGTTTTTTAATAACACGTCTTTAGGCTGTGGTCACTAGGCCTGCTTGTATAACAGTTTTGATGCTGGCTGCACATTGTGTAGGTAGGTATGGTAGGTACAATTATATTTTCCCACAACACGTTTATATTATTTGAGGTTTTTTTTCCTAAGTTGCTGTCATAATAACCTTATGATGGCGTCAATTTGCTCGATGCGACTATGTTACTTGAACTTTACATTTCTTGGTCAAAGGGAGTGAAAGCAGTTAATTCTTTGCTTTACTTTTATTTAGATTTTAATCTCTCTTCACATAGCAAAAATTCATTATGCTTAGGGATTTTAGCGACCTGATGGCCTAAATGTAGCAGTGGCTTTATGTTCTTTTGTCTGCCCTGTGGTATAGAGGTTTGACCACCTTTACTTTTTTAAAAACTGACCAAGACTAGGATGCAATTTTTTTTAAATGAAATTTAGAACAAATTTGTACAAATTTTTTAAAAGTCTCAGGACAAATATTTAGACCCATTAAAGATGCAAACAGTGGGGAATGGAGAGTATGAAGCTACAATGAAATTGATAATCTGTTTAAATCCCCACTGAGGGTTAATAGACTGAAATGGCGTGGGCATATTGAGAAAATGTCAGATGACAGACGTAAAAAACTATACACAAGGAGGCTGAATGGTTGCAGACCAAGAAGACGATAGGCAGATAATATTCAGACAGAGTTACAAACAATTAGTTGTCACCAACTGGAAAAAAAGACCAACTAGAGTGATGAATAGAGGTGGGTGATATCTGCAGCAATGAACCTTAAAAGCTCAGGATGCTAAAGACGACCTCACTCACCAATATTCATCTTAGGGTTTCTAAGATTTTTGTTTGTTTGGGTGTCCTAGTAATTTCAGTCGATTTGTTTTTCATTTAAGTAAACACTAACAGGCAATATCAGAAAAGACAAAAACTATGTTTTCCAGTTATAACTGGAACAAGAGCCGTCTTAACACTTAACAGTAAGTTAATGCATGGACCAGTCTGGCACTTGCCAGGGGACCACACGAGCAGACTCAACTGATCCCATGATAAGTTGTGTTTGTCAAGTGACTTGCCATAAATATACATAAATGCATTCCTGTGAGTGGTTGTTGGGGCCCTAGCATTCTCCCAGGGGCCCATAATGCTGTGTTAAGATAGCTCTGACTGGAACCCTTCCTTTCTGAATTAAAAAAAATGGTAGAATATGATAATCCTTTATTCATTTTCAGTCACAAACAACCTGTTAAGTAAATGACTTTTACCCATTGATTTACATTCATAGCATAATGTGCTTTCTTATTTTTGTTACATTTGGTCAGAAAAACTAAAGAAGTATGCCTCCCCTGAATAATCTGAATAATCACTATTACGCCTAGGCCAGTGTATATTATTAACTGTAACTACCACAGCGAATGTAATTGTAATTCATTCATTCACCACTTTTCATCACGTCTTTTCTTTATTTTCACATTATTAAACCTTCTCAGCTAAATAACTGCACTACACACTACTTTACTACTACTACAACTGTCTTTTAGTACTACCACAACTTTCCTCGAATTTGGAGTACATCTGCCTGTGAGGCAGGGAACGGCAAACAAAAAAGCCAGTAAAACAAAACGGATGTACATGCAAAACTCAGGTCCAGGTAAAAGCAAAAAGTTCAAATGGATGAACAACCGGGAACTTCTGCCAGAATTCACAGACCGTAGCCGTGAACGAAGAAGAAGAACTACCACAACTTTCTTCTACTACTACTACTACTACTGATGCTGCTGCTGCTACTACGTCTACTACTACTATTACAACTGCTGCTTCTGTTACTGCTGCACTACACTACCGCTAGGACTGTCTAGCTTACTTCCTCTACTACTAACTACTACTACTACTACTACTACTACTACTACTACTACTACTACTACTTCTACTACTACTACTACTACTACTCAACACAACTATTAATTACTATCAAACAGCTTCATATTGAAGTTTAGGAACTGATTTTAGTTGTGTACAAATTAATTTATGGTTGCAACGCCGATGAACGTACCTGAGATACCTAGTCTCAGACTTCAAGCCCAAATACTAAATACAATTAGAATCAACGCTACGACTGACCATTGTTTGTTTAGTCAAAATCACAAACGCGGAAGTGACCAAAGAGCGCGTCAGAGAGAGAGGAAAAAAACAGGAACACCGGTGTGCCTCAGATCATAGCACACAATACACAGGTGATAATAGGTCAAGCTACAAAAACTAGGCCAGATCCGTAAATACATACCACTACTTAACTTTCAAGCATTTTCGCATACCAAAGGAAACAAATGAAAAGTGTCAGATGAAAAAAAAAAGTGTCGCTAAAGAGTAGTTAGAGGAAGTATGACATTGGAGGACCTACCTGTTCGATTTGTTTATATTCCTTCTTGTTCCAAAGTACCTGCGATCACGTGACGGTAGAGGAGATGTCAAAAGTGTACTAACGCTACTATTGATGTCAGGGGAAATGGCGAAACAAAATTTCGTCTCCTGGCACGTTAACGCGAAGCTGTTTTATACAAGAAAACTGGAGAATGAAAGGAAAGAGAGAGCGGAGAAATGTGGGGTGAGGGAGGGGACAAGAGTGAGAAAGAGAGAGACGGATATTAAGGGACACATTAGACAACAAAAATGATTTTACGATATAACTGAGGGAAAAAAAACGTCTGCAGGGAGTCTCGGCGACGCTGTGGTTAAACTATTTGCTGTGTGGGTCGTGGGTTCGTTTCACAGACGTGTCGTTCGGTTCACCAGTGCAGTTTTTACGGTAATTCCTAAGAACCGTCACTGGAGCTACAGAGTTTGACCTTTGTGCGTGCGACGCCACAAGCAGGTGGCTAGTTAGTGGCCTAGAGTTACAGCCAGTCCAGTGAGCTGGATCCTTTGACTTTAACTCTTTAATTGTTTTCAAAAATAAGAATTAACAGGACTAAATTCGTTCGCTTTGCCAATGCTTGTGGGAACTGGTGTTGTCATTTCCACTTTTGTTTACATGAGAGGTGGTGACATTTCTATTGTGATGTACCTTATAGATTGTGTCATTTCTATTGTGATGTACCTTATAGATTGTGACATTTCTATTGTGATGTACCTTATAGATTGTGTCATTTCTATTGTGATGTACCTTATAGATTGTGTCATTTCTATTGTGATGTACCTTATAGATTGTGTCATTTCTATTGTGATGTACCTTATAGATTGTGTCATTTATATTGTGATGTACCTTATAGATTGTGTCATTTATATTGTGATGTACCTTATAGATTGTGTCATTTCTACTGTGATGTACCTTATAGATTGTGTCATTTCTATTGTGATGTACCTTATAGATTGTGTCATTTCTATTGTGGTGTACCTTATAGATTGTGTCATTTCTATTGTGATGTACCTTATAGATTGTGTCATTTCTATTGTGGTGTACCTTATAGACATTGTCATTTCTATTGTGATGTACCTTATAGATTGTGTCATTTCTATTGTGATGTACCTTATAGATTGTGTCATTTCTATTGTGATGTACCTTATAGATTGTGTCATTTCTATTGTGATGTACCTTATAGATTGTGTCATTTCTATTGTGGTGTACCTTATAGACATTGTCATTTCTATTGTGATGTACCTTATAGATTGTGTCATTTCTATTGTGATGTACCTTATAGATTGTGTCATTTCTATTGTGATGTACCTTATAGATTGTGTCATTTCTATTGTGGTGTACCTTATAGATTGTGTCATTTCTATTGTAGTGTACCTTATAGATTGTGTCATTTCTATTGTGATGTACCTTATAGATTGTGTCATTTTTATTGTGATGTACCTTATAGATTGTGTCATTTCTATTGTGATATACCTTACAGATTGTGTCATTTCTATTGTGATGTACCTTATGGGGTGTGTCATTTCTATTGCGGTGTAGCTTATAGGTTTTGTCATTTCTCCTTTTTTTCTAT